GGCCCAGCCCTGGTGCCTGCAGCGCCTTCATTCCCTCATCTAGCTCATGCTCACTCCGCGACTGCCAAGCCTGAGAGGAACCACTCGGGGCGCAGAGCACGAAGGTCCAGCTCACGGCCTGCAAGCTGCACATGCAGGTCCCCCTCCTCTCCGTTCTTTTGGGCCTGACAGCACCCCGGGGACGGGTGCCCTCCCCGGCACATACCTTGCCGCATGCACTCAACCTCGTCCTTGCTGACGAAGCTGCACAGGGCTCTGGCTGTGGCCAGGCGTACGGCTCCTGCCTGCGCGGACCTCCCGCCCCCGGACACGGTGCAGGTCACGTCGTGCTTCCCGAGCCGGTCCAGGAAGTGGAAGGGGAACATCAGCTGTTCTCTGCAGCAAGGACAGCCAACACGGTTACCTGAGCTGCGGGCACGATGGACCCAGGAGCTCAAGCCAGAGCTGGGACCTGTGGTGAGGTCCCAGGAGTCTACCTGCATGCGGACCACCAGGCAGAAGACCTGCCAGCTGTCACCTCGCTGAGGTGACCATCCCCAGGGCACGGTCCCTCTCAGGCTTTTCCTGAAGGGAGAGCCTTTGGCACCTTCCCTGGGAGCTGCTGAGCAGAGCTAGTTTAATGGAGAAAATGTGAGTGGAGATGGGAGGTGCTCTCCTCAGCAGCCCCACTGCGCTGCCTGGGGGAGCCCCTGCCGTCGTGAGCATGGGAACCACAGGAGCCTCGGCCCACGGGGACACAGCGGGATTAGGAGAGGAGGAGCTACTCGCTTGGACCTTCTGGGACTTGCAGACAGTGACAGCACCTACTAGAAACTTAACAATCGGCTCAGGAAGGCCTTTCTCCAGTGGCTCAGAGAGAGCTTGGAAGTGAGTGCATCTAGAGGATTAGATGAGCCCGAGAATCTATTTACAACGCTCAGTTCTCCTTGGGACACAGATAAAAAGATGTAACGGCCCCATCTGGCACTGGCAATTAAACAGATGAGCAGCACCTCATCTTAACAGAAAGACGTCAAGTTTCTTTGCTTACTTCATGTCTGAGCAATCTACTTCCTCTGACCAGGAAACTCAGGAGTGATGCAGGCATTTGCAACCGCTTATTCTCAGGAAAGCAGGTATAAGCTTCAAAGCCCGCCTGTCCTGGATTTTGCTAACCCCACTCCAGGAGCTGGCAGAGCGCCTGTGCTTGGCACACTGTGGCCCCTGAAGAGACAAGGCAGAAGTCTGGTTTCCTACACTCTGGCCTGGACTGCACTTCAGAGCCTCAGAAATAAAAAATTTCAAATTCCAGTGTGCTAGACAAAAAGAGGACGAAGGGGCAATGAACGATAATTTTCGGAGATGCTTCGTAACGGTGCTGGAAAACAATCCCAAAAGCGACAGCTCTAGGCAGTGCCTCTGCACTACTAGTAGAGCAGCAACCCTTCGGGCACATGGAGCTAGACAGGCGCAGCCCTCTTAGCTGACCGGGGCATCAGGAAACGTGCATTCTGGAAACAGATGCCGAAAGTAGCACGCACCTGTCCTGCATGACCGGGAAGTACCGCAGGTAGTCCACGCCATTCACCTGGATCCTCCCGTTTCCATGTCCTGACACAATGGCTTCCGCTGCTGCAGTCTTTCTTCTACCTTGAAAGGTTCACGTGCCTATTAGTAAAAGCTTAAAGACAGCTAGAACTGCTGAAATTAATTTTCCCATGGTAACAACAACACCACAGTACTCAGGAGGCATCTGAATACAGGTCAGGCAGCAATGACATCAGCCACAGCACCACTGAAATAATACAGCTTACCAAAGGGTCATTTTGTTTTTCAATTCCACTTTAGGAACACTGCGATGATTGATTGATTGATTGATTGATTGATTGAGGAACTGGGGATTGAACTCAGGCCCTTGCACTTGCCAGGGAAGCACTTATTCCACTGAGCCATCTCCCTGGCCCAACTGTGATGATTTTTTTTTTTCTTTGTGGAACTGGGGATTGAACTCAGGCTCTTGTGCTTGCCAGGCAAGCACTTACTCTACTGAGCCATCTCCCCAGCCCCTAAAACTTCTGTTTTTTTTTTTTTTTTTTTTTTTCTCCTGGTACCGAGGACTAAACTCAGGACCTTGCACTTGCCGCCAGGCAGGTGCTTATGCTGCTGAGCTAACTCCCCAGTCCATTTTTGATATTAAAAAAACAGAAAAACAAAAGCCAGCCATGGAGGTGTGTGTCTGTAATCCCAGCCCTCTGGGAGGCTGAGACAGAAAAGACTGCAAGTTTGAGCCTAAATCTAGGAGACCTAATAAGTCTCTTGTTTCAAAAGAAAGAAAAGAAAAGAGGGCTGGGGGTGGGGCAGCGGGCAGAGAGAAAGCTCAGCAGCTAAAGAGCCTGGCTGCAAGAGCAGAGTCCTAAGTTCCTTGCTACAATCTTGAGTACTAAAAAAAAAAACAACAAACAATGGATATGTTACTGTTACTTCATACTTCACAGACAATAAGACTACATCTAATATAATATTAAAACTATCACAACAGTATAATGAGATGTGTTTGGAAGAAATGAAAGGGGTCTGCAGGAGCGGTCTCGCTCCTCTGGAAACAGCGCCCAAATGAAATGGGGCGCAGGCGGGGGAGGCGAGCCGCCTCACTGCGGTTCTCACAAGTCTCAGTTAGGCCTGACATGCGGATGCAATGAGATTTTAAGTTTTTGAGGGGAGGTCTTGATTACAAATACCAGACTGATTCTATCAGTTGAAAGTGTGGAAAAGGAAAAGCTCAAGGATTGTGCAGGTGTGAGTCCCCGTTTTTTTCCTTGGACACCGTAAGGTTCAGTTTTTAAAACCTAAGAGAATCTTAAAATTAGAAAATCCAGTGCAGCACCAGGAAACAAAGCAAACCCAAGACTGAGAAGCCCCTGGGGCCGGGCAGCAAGCGCAAGGGAGGCCGGGGCCCAGCGGTACCTTGGCCGGTGCTGAAGGGCGCGCCCTGCGCGTCGTGCTGCAGGGGCGGGATCTCCTGGCTCATGGACTGCAGGGCCACACTCCTGCGGAATCTGTGCACCAGCTCCTGCTCGGCGGGGCCGCTCGCCAGCCGCAACAGCTTCTCCAGCAGCCGGATGAGCTGCGCGTGCTGCGGACAATGGGATTGACGAGAGGACGCGAGTGTAATTGCATTTGCTAAGTTTTTCTATTTTTATATACTTGATCTTTCCAGTGCTGCTTTTCTTGATGAATTTTGACAGGATGACACTCGTGCACCTTCACGCTGCTTTTAAAACAGCGTGCACGAGCATCGCCTTCCCCGCGGGGCTGCGGGGACCGGCCTTCCCTTTTAAGGAACAAAGAGATTGATCACTCAGAGAAAAGTCGGTTTCTCTGCATTATGATCACGAAGCTGAGATTTAAATTCATTTTTAAAAAAGTTTAGGTGATCTTCAAACATAATTTCCACTCTTTATTAGAACTGTATCAAAAGGAGCATTAGAAATAATTTCCAGTAAGTTATGTAGAACGAAATGTAAAGAGTCTGATTTTGAGAAAATGTACCTCTTAAATTATATTTCATAATACATTTGGCAAATATATTTTTGGCTGTTCAAGCTGTGTTACTTTAATGTTTATGATTTCCTTTAAAACCGAACAATCAAGCTATTTAAAAATTCAAGAGACACTTGACTTAAAGGGCAACCTCTTGAAATAAATCATCCTTGCTACTCTGTGCAGTTTTTTTAATAGTTCTTGAACATGTGATTAGAAAGTAAACAACTTGGTATTAACCCCTTAAAATTAGAAGCCAGAATAATCACTTTAAAGTGTTTATGGAGAAGGAAACAACTACCACTCGAGATCCGTAGTTAATATGGATTATGAAACCCAGTTTTTGATAACCTTTTTATGTTTTTTGCCAACCCTACAAATCACACTCACCTCTGTTACCATTTGCCTTTATTGTGAAAACCTACCAATAATACTTTAAAACAGTGAAGGATCTCAGCAATAAGACTCATAATGTTAAAAGAATTGCTTCAGCTCTACCTCCCTAGACGTAGTAATAGGAAAGTGATATTCACGGGTGAGGCGCGCACCCCCCAGCCCCCAGAAGCTTTACTCTGCCCTCCAGGCAGGGCCAGTGGCCTCTGTTCTTAGCCCCTGACTGTGCACCTCACACATTCTACAAGGCCACTGTTTAACTTCACATGTCACTCTGGGGGCCACATAACCTCACTGGCTGACTAGGCTTAGGGTTCAAGAAGTCGCTGCCCACTCTCAACCCCTTTGTCTCGAAACCAGCTGCAAACTCGAGGGTCTCTTTTACCATCCAGTACTCAGACAGTATGGAGCGCTGTTAGAGATAATCTGCTTTGTTTCATAGGTGCACACCTGTATGCAGTCCCGGAGACAACCTTGAATCACAAAAATCACAGCAGCCAGACAGCAGAGAAAACAATGAAATGACACATTCACTGAAGAAGCGAAAGAATTTTTCACTTAATTCAAGTACAAAACACTTAGCCAAGGGTATCAGAAATTCACTCTGGATCCACTACTAACCAAACATCTGACACCTTGTTTCAGCAAATTAGCTTTCCATATCATTACTTCCTTCAATATGCTAAGGAGCAAAGGAGCGACTACAGAACAGGCCTGAAGATCTACCAGCATCGAGCCACGACCAGCGCGGGCCACAGCTGTGGGGAAGAAAGCCTCCTTGAAAGGATTTGTGAAATTTACCGCTGTTCAAACCTTCCAGAAAATCATCTCAATTTAGAATGTCAAAACATTTAAAATAACAACTTTCCCCCATAGCGATGAGCCATATTAGAACATCTAACAAAATAAGAGTACAGTGAGAAGGAAAAGCAGCCGGTGGTCATGCACTGCGGGAGGCTGCTTAGGAGGGTGCACTGCTGAGTGCTCCAGGGCTCCACACTCAGCCTAGGGAGGCGGGCCAGGACAGCTGCAAGGATGCTGGCCAGTCACAGCTCACAGGTGAAACCCGACCTCATGGACAGCGAGCTGACCCTCCTCCTAGCTGTGCCTGGAGAGCCTGGAGACTAGCAGAGTGCGCCCCAAGACCACCCAGAGGGGCCCAGAGCCCCGACAGCACCTTCTGACTGTGCCTCAGCCCTCCCCCACTTCAGAAATCAACAAGGAATGCGCTACCCAGAGGAGCAGGGGCACAGGAACACCTGGCTCCAAGGAACCTTCCTATTAGGCTCCTTAATACAGCAATTGTCTGCATTCTTAGGGCACAGGTCCCCTTAAATTAAAAAGATTAATTACTCACATCGTGATCTGACAGTTTTTCCACTAACATTTCTTCTAGTTCCTCCTTAATCAGCCATCTGCTGCCAATCAGGTCTCTGTTAAAATACCACATATATTCTCTTCTTAATTAACCATGCAATTAGAGTTATATCACAAAAGATCTTACATACAGTAGCAAGTCTTGATTTGAAAACAAATTTTCATGTAGTCTTTTCATCCAAGTGCACCACTTCTGAGAAACATCACTCTATTTTCTCAGTCTACTTTAGAAAAGACAGCGACTCTAGCAAATGTTTTGAAGACTTCAAGATGCCACGATGGCTCACTCCTAAAATGCCTTATTTCCTGACGCTTACGCTGTGCCTGCAGAGTCGGCTCTGAACACATGTGGACACAAAAGGGACTGCCAAGGGGCCTGGGACCTGGCAAAACTCAAGGCAAGGACCAGGAATACATTCCTAACTTCAACACAACAGTGTGCTTAGAGAGGCAAAAAGGAAGCAAGAAAGAAAAAAGAAAAAGGAGGAAGGCACACACGAACAGGCAGCCCGAATGTCTGCAGGACGCACGGGCGAAGGGCCCGAGCTCCTGGTGCCCGCCGAGTGAAAGCACAGCCTGAACGCCTCTCCCCGCGCACAGGCACTACACGCGCCCACGGCCATACGCACCCCATCCATGGCAGAGACTAGGTACTGCTTAACACATCGGAAACGGAGCGACAAAAACGGCCTTAGTATTTGCTTCCTTCTAAGCAAAAATTACCTCTTATCTGGAACCCTATATTTTACTAATTAATGCTGAAATACTGAATAAATATTAGGCTTCAGGTATGCCAATAAATGGCATGTTTTGATTTAAAGCTCTTTATATTCTAAGGTAAGAAAAGAACTCACATGACTTCAGTGTTTTCTGGCACCAGACTTTTGGGTAGCGACGTATTCTGATGATTTTCAACCTGGAGAATCTTTCCATATATGTCCTACATAAACAGAACACACATGCTACAGTGAGAGAAGGCATGCCATGCTTGGGGTGCACTTACACTTCTTCCCCGTGAGGACTCCTTATGTGGCCTCCCTGACCCAGCTGCAGGGCAAAACAGTGAAAATGCTATTGAGCAGAAATGCTACTGGCTCAAATAAAGGACGGCAGTTCTGTAAGAATGCAGTACTCCACGTCAGGGCGCGCCCGCCTTTCCCGATTAACACGCCACTCCGGAACCTGTCCATCTCCACTCCGGGGAGGATGCTCACAACAACGGGAACCCTTTAGGAGGCACTGATTTTACTTCAGCATTCCACAAACAGGACAAAAATTTTCCTTAGGCAAGAGCATAACGTAGCAATATGTACCTAAGCTTAGAAAACTACCTAGACTTATGATATTTATAGCTAAAATACCTAACACTCAATTTTACAGAACATTTAAGATTGCCACGTATTTTTATCTTACAAGAAAATTTTCACTGTATTTTACATTTTCCTTTATTATGAGGTGCGGCTCAGCAGCAGCACTGGCCCCACCCAGGCATAGCCTGGGTTTCTGACTCAGCATGGGGGAGGGCCGAGCTGTGGATGACAAAGCCAACTGCTTGTTTCGCTAGTCACGACGCTCCCACTATCATCACCTGTGTCCACTGACGCACTCCGTGGCTGGCAGGTGCAGTCTATACCTCCAATAGTCAGAGTTTTCAAGCTGGGAGGCAGCTGCCCATGGGCTCAGGTCAGGCTGCCAACACGTCACTCCCAGTCTGTTCTGAGGAGTTCGTTTGCACTCTCATGGGGATACCGTGAGTGCCTGCATTTTAGTACAATTTCATCTGCAGTCTCTTTTGGGACTATTTCTCTCACTGGGGGAAATAAGAGTAAGAACTAAGCCTCTGAATCATGCGACATCAACACAGGTGAGGAAAGCTGAGATGGTATTCACAGGACAGAACCATTCGTGCCTTCTGTCAGAACAGTTTTCTTGCGTAGCTGTCCCTAAGGGTGGTACCACTGGTAGCTGGAAAAGGAAACCAGAAAAAGAAGAGATGCTGCACTCAGGAGCTATAAAATGGGGGAGCTGGAGCAAGAGGCCACATGCAACGCAGACAGAAGGGGATCTGCCTCCAGCTCGCTCCTGGAGGGGGAGGCCCAGGCCAGTGGCAGCAGCGTCCAATCCAGAACTGGTCAGAAACAGAAATTCTCCAGCCTCATCCAAACCCACTGAAAAGGAACCTCTAAGGAACACAGCAGCACGCAGGGAAGCCTGGGAATTGGTCACTAGAGGGACAGCCAGCTTCAGTAGATTCCTCGTACCTGCGGGAAGCAAGTGTGACCACACCACAAGAGCCTGGCTGACACAGGTCCATCACTACAGCAGCAGAGAAATACACGCTCACATTTAAAACAAAAGACCCACCGCCACAATGAACAACGCAAGAACCAATTCACAAGTCAACACCCACATGTAGAATATGCATGTATTTCTTATTCAACTCAAAATTTTACATTGTCTCCCAAGAACTGGAGTGTTGTTAGCTTTCTTGAGTGTGGTTATGTGCTGGGATGGGATGGGAAGCCGGGCTCCACACTGGGGAAGCCCACGCTGCCCTGAGCGATGTCCCTCATCCTCACAGCTGCCTTGGGCTCCACGGCCTGCGGCCTGGAGAGCGCAAAGCCAGCCAGTATGCTCTCCAATCCAGCTACGGACGCGTGGGCCTGAACACCAACAACAGTAATAAGGTAGTCTGGTATTTGAAAGGGGTTAGTTTTCAGGTTTTAGTTCAATTTTCTTGAGTAACCAAAGCAAGTATTATACCAATAACCACCTTTCTTCAGTTGAAGTCAAACACTGTTAATTATAATGTTCTAATGACTTCTGAGCAACGTTCACTTTAAGTTCATACTTTTCTCAGAATATTCTTTCATTCTGCCATTCCCTTCTAGTATCCTATTCACATCTATAACAATTTATAAATGGTGTCAGTAAAATGATTAGGTGGAAAAAATGTGAGAGGAGAAAAGTAGCCATGAAAGCACGTCTCCAACTTCAAACATGGTAAATTCTATTCCTGTAAGGCAAATGCTTACAGCTTGATACCTGTATCCCATAGGTCACATAATGTGGAGGACGCCACTCTACACACCTCCTTTTGGGGGTGGGTTTGACTCTAGGGCCACCCGCGTGCTGAGCGCGTGCTCTACGACAGAGCTACACTGCAGCCATGAACAAGTCTTTACCTAAGAAAACTTAGGAGACAAGGAGCGCAGCGCCGCACTGACCCTGGCAGGGAAGTGCAGCTTCCCAGGGGCAAATGGCCTGACTTGGACCACGCACCATCGCCGTGAGCTCTCCTACTGCATAACAGAATTGCTCTTGAGAGTCTGCCTGGTTAGAGACAACAGTTCTCCGGAAAGTCGATTCTGCAGCTTCAGCTCCCTGAAGAGATGCATTCTAATTTACATCAAAAAATTCTTGAGGGTATAGAAGATGCCAGGAGCTGTCAACATCACCGATTATCACCGATACATTGTTAAGTTTCCACTTGATTTTTAAGGGACACTAGAGAATTAGAGTGACCCCACCTGCACTAAGTTTATATAGTGTATTTAATAGTGTAATTTTCAAATACGATAGGAATAACCCAGATGTGAAATGCTGAATCATTAATCACAGCTATGATTAATATTTCATAAAATCAAAGCAAGCCTTTCCACCCCTCATGCCATCAGATTTCCATAATGTATGAGTCAAATTTAGAAGGTGCCTAATTTGAAAATACCAGATGCTCAGGTTGCAGAAAAGAAATGCTTAAAGTAAACCCTTCCAAGAGCACGAGCAGAGGGATTTTTAGTATCCTTCTAAAATGTGATGTGGCTGCATTAATCATGTGTAAACTCCAATTTGAGGAAGGATAAACAAGTAGCATTTCATAGGGAACAATGGCATAGGAAAAGTCACACAATAAACAGTAACAAACTAATACCAATTATCATCTTAGATGTTAGCTCAGTAACTTACAATTTGTGTTTGTGAAAAAAAAAATCACAGAAAAAAATATCTTAAGTAATAACTAATGTTTTGGCCACTGGGATACGCCAAATCAAATGAAGTAACTATAAATGTTATTCATAGAATTTGTTCCTACAGGCCTCAAGTTGCAAATGACTTGGCTCCAACGTAGACCGCTGCTTTTCCTGTGAACACAGTGCACGACAGTTTACTCATCCCATGATGTCACTCGACAGAAAAAGGCATGCAACTCAGCAGAGCTGGGAGAAGCACAGCGAGTGACAACGGACAGCAAAGTGCAGAATCTCAGATGCCATCAAGTGTAACTGCCCCAGTAACAACCACACAGTCTAACAACAGCACCACGACAGAAGTCATCTGACTAAAATCAGTGTAAAGGCATAATAATAATAATAACAAGGATCCACTTTTTTAAAAATAGTAATTTTCCCAGTTGTTAGACTAGGAACATAAAAGATATATAATGGCAATTACTCATATGTGAGGAAAGGGTACATTAAAGACCCTCCAGAATGGCAATTTCTACTGCTGATTTCATTACTGAATTTAACTCCTGCTGTCAAGAAGCCTTAAAACAGCATGCAGACAGACTTAGCAGCAGTCCGCGGCTTCAGAAGTACTCTAGGTGGTGGTAAACAGTTCTCACAGCGGCGCTCTGGGAGCAGGCACGGCATCCGTCCACTTCTAGAGGCAGCAGCACTACATCCAGAAGTCTTCATTGTTCACCGCAGGGCCACAGTCAGGACCTGGCAGAGCTGCTGTGGGCTCTGAGCCAGCAGCTCTGCTCAGGGCACCAGGCTCGGCTTTAAGCCCCGGCCCCTTCTGTCATCTGAGCGGAGCTGGGGCCTGAGGAGCCAGGCGCATCTGTCACAGGGCAAATGAGCCCGCGGTACACAGAAGTGAGGACTTAGAGTCTGGTTTCTCCTGGTTTAAACTTCTCCAGCTCGGCACAAGAGTCTAGGTACACACCGAACCAGCCAGCCCTCGTTTCACACACGCATCTGGTGTGAGCCTCACCATGGCTGTGTGCAATTCCTTCCACCTGGGAAATACTTTGACAATAGTCCGTTCTTCACTGTGAAGTTCGTCCTCAGACATCAGCCAAGCTGCTACACAATGCAGCTTCCTGGGGTTGCCTTTACTTGCACATCTCCTCACACCACGGCCAGGGCGAGCCCCGTTCCGGAACAGGCCCACAGGCTCGCTGTCTCGGGGCTTACGCCAGCCTGAGCTGGGGCGACTCTCACCTTGCCTTTGGGGTCTCGCTTTGAGTAATGCCTTCAGGACATTTGCTGAGAGTTTCCAACATTTTGGGCAGCTTTTGGCAGCACAAATCCCTTTGATGGTACGTGACAGGGCACCGCAGCCACTCCTTTTGAGAGCAGTGGGCAAAGCAGCAACTTTCTTCAGTTATGGCCACAGACACACTGAAGGGGCCAACCAACCACGGGCCAAAAGCCCTGCACCTGTGCTGGAACAAACCTTCCCTTTTAAGCCAGTGCTCTCGGGTATTTTACTACAGTCATGGGAAGCTAACTACTATCAACTCATTTCTTCTTCTTCTTTTTTCTGTCAACTCATTTCTAGTGAGGGAATTCTAATCTTTTTCAAAATAGGTATTAGTAGAACCCATGAACCTAAGCCAGTATTTTTCTTAAAATAATGAACCTGTACAAATCGAATGCTGACCTCCTAGGCTGCAAATGTGCTGTTGAGGAACCCCATCCTCTGTTCCCTTTGCCATCAGCTTGGCTGTCCTGAACAGGCTGAGGCTTTAGGGGCTGCCCAGTCTTGTCTCCCCCAATGCCTAGGCCACACGGATCCATGGGGAACCCGAAGTGGAGCACCCTCCGTCCCACACACACCTCCATCCCCTTCGAGCTCTTCCCCGTCCTTTGTACCTCTGCTCAACTGTTTGGAAATTATTTTTGTTTTTTCCCTTCTCTTCCTTCTGCTCCTAAAACTTAAACTCAGGCCCTCAACCGGAGAGCATGCGAGTTCTGTCAGCTGGGTGACAGTCAAGGACATAGGAAGCCCGGTACGCTGGGCAGGGAGAGGCCGCGTGGGCGGAGTTGCTAAGCACGAAGGCCCCTGCATAACTCAATAGCAGTTCAAGACTTGGGAAGTCACTTATTTTTCTGAAACTGTTCTTAATGTTTAAGAAGTGTGTTGGTGTTGTTCTGTGTGTTCATCATTTATGTCTGTTTTATCAGTGATACTGTAAGGTACACAGGTTTTGGCAACTTTCCCAGCAGCCTGAAGACACAGCGTTGTCTTGTGGGTGCAACAGGGGCCCCGCCCAGCTGGCATGGGGTGCTCTCAGAGCTCCAGGTGCTGCTTTCCCTGGTGCGCTACAGCGCGTCTCATCATCGGCTTTCCTCAAACCCTGCCCAGTTCTCCCTCTTCAGTCCTTCCCCCTGGAAGGACTGAACGTGGGTCACGGGGACATGGTGTCCATGACGGCATGCTGCGCAATCCTGCCCTGTGAGCTGCACTGGGACGACTTGCCCTGAGCTGCTATGAAGTGCCACACGCAGCCACCAGATGCTAGAAGACCTGGTGAGTCATACGATGGAAGAGGTCGGTGGAGCCCGGGAAGTCCCCTCACAAGGGGCACCTAGGCTGGAGCCACTGCTCTCCCAGCACTGCCCTGCCCGCTGCTGCAGCTGGTGCTCAGCTGGACAGCAGTGCTGCTCAGGGTCCTCCCACCACACAGGAACTGAAGCATGCAACAAAAACAACACAGCGACAAAGATCCAACCTGAGTCTCAGAGCCGGCAGGTGCTCGGGGTAGCTTCCAGTGATTACACAGGACAAAAGGGGTGGCCTGGGCCCCAGGAGGCAGAACAAAGGGAGGAGACACAGGGTGGCGCTGGAATCCACAGCTGGGCCTGGCTGGATGTGTCAGAGCAACAGTGTCTCTCGTGGCAGCTACCATGTGCCGTAGAGCCAAGATGCCCCAACCTGGCTGGGGTCAATGCCATCTGCTGCCGGGAGTGCTGGGGGACTGGCAAACCCAACAGCAATGGTAGAGCTGAACTAACACCGAGAACTCCTCTATACGCCACATAAAAAGGGAAGAATACGTGGCCAGACAGAATCTGACATTGTAGTCAGGGAGCTTGGTAAGATTTTATCTCCTGAGATACCAATCGGTTTCTTTTAAAACAGGAAAACAAACTAAAGTTAGGCCTCATACACAATGTGTAATTTCTTCATTATGATGGAATGCAGGAAAACATCTCGCCCTTGGCTTGCTTGGTTCCAGCCCAAACAAATGCAAATAGCTTGTCAGATGACAGCTGCTGGATCAGGCTCCCGCACAACCTGCGTGCTTTACTCTTCCCCGTGAAACTTGGGATGAAAGGCAGCAGGCAGGAAGAGAATTAATGTAGCATACAGTCTAAAGGCAATGCTACAACCGTGATTAAGTAGAAAAGTTAAAAGGCACAGATTTCCACAACCTCGCTGCGTGCAAGCCATCCGTGTAACAAGTTGACAGGCCTGGCGCATCAGCTCCATCATCCCCTCCGACAGCTAAAGCGCAGCACCACAGCCCTTTTCAGAGAAAATTTGCGTCTGCACCATGAAGCGTTGTACATTATTTCTTAGCACTGCAGGGGGCCCAAGTCCATATGGAACCTTCACAAATATTACCACAGATCACACCAGCGGCGGTGGAGGCAGATTTGACATACCTATTTAAATGAACAGCAGGGGGCCTGGGCAGCCTCGGGCCTTGCAGGGAGCGCTCTGCAAGGCTGGCCGCAGCACCATTACTCAGCAAAGACACGCTCCACATTTATCATTCATTTCATTTCTGCCAGGGCAGGAAGCTCATTTGCCCAAGGTCAACAGAGAGCAAAAAGAAGGCTTTCTTTTTTTTCCCCAAGAAATAAATGTATCTGACAAGTAGGGATTTTATCCTTTGGGTTTCTGGAGCACAAATAAACACCAGATAAGTCTGAAAAGCAGAGCGAATGTGTTCACTGATTCAAGCCACTGAAACCTGACTGTGGATGTTAGGGGAAGCCCCAGAAATATTTCTGACTTAAAAGTCACAGAATGGTACCCAGACAAAAGTACAATAGATCTGTGCAGGAGAAAGACTGACCGCACAAAGGAAAGGCCGACTGGGCTCAGGAAGGGGAGAGGAAGGAAGGAAAAACAGCACACAAGGTAGCAAAGGCAGGTGTACTACTCACGTCTTGTCTTTTCCTTTCTCATTTTCTTTTCCTTTCTGTCTTTTGTCTTTTTGAGACAGGGTCTCACTATGTAGCTTTGAGCTCACTTTGTAGCCTAGGCTGGTCTCAAACCTGCAACAATCCTCCTGCCTCTGCCTCGCAAATGTTCAGATTACCGGCATGTGGCACCACACCCAGCCTAATTTCCACTAGTCCATTGAAAGAAACAGTCTTTATACAGCCTGATCAATCTTCCGTGCCTACATCTGGTAAGCTGAGCAACTACCTTAAAGACAACAACATGCAGTACAATAACCATGGTTAACTTCCTATTATCTTGTTTTGAAATTCTCTAGCATTTTTGTTTTTTTATTATCTTTTAAATAAAAACCAATCATAGAATAAGTCAGAACTTGACATCACATTCTAAAAATAAAGCAGGTTCTGCTGGTTAAAACTGGAATTGGCATCCAGGCTTGTTCTTCACAGTGATTCTGGGGGACTTTCCCAGTCTGCACACTGTCACACACAGCTCTCCAAGCAAAACAGAACGGGTCACAGCACCCTCAACAGCGGCTGGAAGGCCAATCACATTAAAATCATTCTCCAGGTTCCTTTGGGGCCTGCACTGTCAGCTCCTAACTGAACTGACCTAAGAAATGTTATCTGTGGTAAAGAAAAACAGAGATGGAGGTCGACACCTGCAGTCCCAGGCAGCTGCACCCTTGGCCTTCCCCTCCCATGCAGGGGTGTGTGCGCATCATGTGTGCACACCTGGCGAATGTTCTTCCACTGTCTACATCCCCAGCCCTGTAAGTGACAGCATGAAGGACAAAGCATTCTGACTCACATTCTGTAACATCAGGAAAGATGAAGCATAAAGCTGCGCAGCAGCTTACTGTCTGTCTCACCTCCAGGAGCCGGATTTTTGCCCTTGAGAACATACTAGGTACACCCCGAAGCCGAGCAGTTCTGAAGCCCACAGCTGGAACTTTTCATCACGAGTGGCGTGTACTCACGTGCATTAGTGAGTAATAGGACTGCTTGCCGGTGTAGAAGAGAAAGTGAGACGGACGGCCATCTTCTCCCCACTGGATTGCTAGGGAAATGCCGGAAAAAACAATGAAAATAGACACAGAGACAGGCGCAACAGCCGCATTTAGCTGCAGTTAGGAGACATACGTATAATTC